GTGGGATGGAACTGAACTGATGAAGTGAATCACTTTAGTCCGAAATTACACGAATTATTGTACCTTGGAGATTAGGTTTCATAGGTTTCCCCATAACCCTTGAACCTTTCAAATATTTATTGAAAAAGGGCCTTTGTTTCTCGTTAATTGCCTAATTGGTGTGGATTGCTTTGAAACGTATTTAATTTTGTCTGAAATATCTGGATGTATCTGATTGTTCAGTTTTGAGAGGCTTACTGACAGGCTGCAAGGTTGTCTCTTAGAGTATTTTCTTTCATTGTTTGGCTGGGCATGTGTCCATGTGAAAATTCCCCATAATCTGCCGCCAATGATGATGATGGCCCGCCCACACACTTATGTATGTACATATGCCTGGTTGTTGCTGTTGACTTGGAAGTGGTGCGTGAGTTTGCTTTTCGACAACAACTTTCCATTTTCGACTTGCCATTGTCTCCCAACGAAAATTAAACATTTCACTTCCTTTCGATTCCAACACCTTCTCTAACACGGCAGCTCATCTTGAGACTCATGAGCATAACGGCGTGACTTCCAGCCAAGTTCAGTAATGTGGGCCAGGCCAGAAATAAAAAAAATAAGTGGGTCTCTGGCTGTGACATGTGAAAAGCCTATACATTGTTTTTCCACCCAGCTCTGCCAGTATTTTCTTGAATTTCTTTGCCATTCCGCTGATGTCACATCAGCTGCCAACTGCGATGGCTGCGATCTCTGCTTCGCCTCGCCTCGCGATTTATGATGTGGGTGGGCATTAATTTTAATGCCCTTAGACGGGATTTTTGTAGAGACCGGCTGCCACCTCCTTCTATATGGGTGTATGTGCCTAATTAAATGGCAATGGCTACTTAACATCTCGCGACAATAAAAATAATAATATTTCGGTAAAATTAGTCACGCTTGGGAATCCGGTGTGTGTTGTGCTGCGATTAGCTAAGTAATACTTTGCGATCGTAATCACAGCGATTTATTAGCCGCCAACAACGAGCAGCTAACAATGTTTTAATTTTAATTGAATTAGCTTGCATTTAAATGTTGACTAATAGTAGCCAGCCAGCCATCAGAACCATCAGCTGTTAACGTTAATATTTATTTTCTCCCGCAACACTGCCATCTGTAAATTAAAGCCAAAAAACTGGATAACTGTTGGGCCACAAAACGAGCAGCATTATCAGCAGTATTGTTTACTCAAAAGCTGGCCAAAAAAAAATTCAGTTTATTTAACTAACAATTTATACATTATTCCGTGTTATTGTTGGCTTAATGTGCGTTTTATCAATTCTGTATTGGTTCGAGTGTTTATTCGCGTGCTCTTGTATCCGAATCGAAATCCGAAATTCGTTCGAACCAGGTGGAGATTTATTCTTTTCGTGATTTTTCAACTATTGTTGTTTCATTGAAAATATTTCTGGTTGCATAAATAAACAAATGCCAGTTGGAGGAGTGTTGTCTGAAATGCAAAACATTTGTTGTGCGAATGCAGGAATCTAAAAATTTAATAATATTTCGGTGGCCAGAATTTCTGATTGTTTTTTAGAAGCCAATTTTTTGGGATTTCACCCCAAGGGCATTGATGAACATTTTTCCCTTTGCGTTACAGTGTTTGCTTTGAGTTCGCTTCCCTGAACTTAATTTTCCTTTTCATCCTTGGCTCCTGAATGAACATACATACCTTCTCCACAAAGTTTGATTATTTTTTTACGCTTTAAGGAGCCGACTCTGATGTTGATATTTCCTTTGGCTGGCGTTTGTTTTGCTAGCCGTTCGTTTTTTTAAAAACCGACATGACCTATTTTTTTATGAGAAGCATTGTTTTATGTTGCTGCTGAGCTTTCCGCTAGCTTTAATTGTGTTTTCTTTGTTTTTTATTTTTATTTCGCTTTTAATGGCTGTCTCTTCTGACTCACGACAACTCTTGTTTTCAGACTCACCGAATGTGGGTTAAAGTCTGTTCAAGTCAGATACAAAAAAAAAAACCCGCTGCATATGCACTCTAAATTAAATAAAATCGTGTTAACAAAACTTTGTATGTTTTGCAAAAAATCCGATGAACCAATTGATATATTAATCGAGGCACTGAGAGACACTGAGCCACTGAGCCACTGAGCGTGTGAACCAACGGCCTGGCGACAGTTTTATGATCTTTGAAATTTATAAATGAAAGTGGATAAAAAACTGTCATTTGGTCATTAATTTAATGCTAAAAATAATCGAGAAGCCAAATGGGAATTATAGTCAAGATTAAGGTTCTCCACTCTCTAGTCTCCCAAAAAAAAGGAGCCAAAAGTCAACCATTACTTGCTATTTTTAGAAGGAAATGCTGCCACAACCGCAAACCGAATTAATATGCAAAAAATATGCAAAAAATCCACAAAAAAACGAATAAACGATAAACATTGTAATCGTTTTTTATTTCGCAAAACACAAACACACAAGTAGAATTGCAAATTCGCCCAAGGCCAGTGGAGTTCATAAAGAAAATAAAAACCATAAAATCAAATATATTTTGGCGCTTGCCAAATATGCGGTGCGCGGCTTAATTGCAGTCTGTACTGTTTGGCTGTCTGAACCTTAAACGTTTCTCGGCCATTTCGGGTGTCAATTTGTTAAGATACCTCGTCCCACATCAGAAACCCAAGGTATCTGACATTGTATGAACAACTTTAAGAGCAACACCCACACACTCATCAGCGACCAGTCATCTAATTCGTGTGGCTTGAATGGTTGTTTTGCATTCATAAATTAGCCAAGCCACCAGATACTTAGATATGTGTCGCACTGTCAGAGTCGTGAGCTCGAGCTCAACCCGGCTTTAATTTGGCTTAGAGGTGTCTGAGCCATCTGAGATTGACAGGTTTGGGGACACGATCAGATATCTACTTCCTCTCGTCGATCGATCGTGTGTCCCACACCATCTCACCATCATTACCATTCCATAAATATCTAAACACATATAGTCAGATACACATTTTATGCCCTACTTGCCGGGGCGGACATAGAGGACCAACCAGAACCCTTGCCAAAAAATCGTGGTGCATAAAATTTGACAATTTATTGACGCTCGACTGGCTGTCGGACGGCACTCGGATGGGACATGCGACGTGTTTCGACTTCTTGTTCTTGTTCATCAAGTGCAGTTCTAAAAATATAAAATATTCAAATGTTGCAAAATGTGGCAGTCAAGCACACCACCACCACCGCTACCACCGAGAAGGGCGACGCTGGTGATGTCATGCTAAAGTCCATCCTTACACACACCCAACCTTGGGGTTCATCCACACACTTTATTCTTAGTGGCTGGTCTAATAGCACTCCATCGGAAGACTGGTGTGGGGGCTGGCTATAAAAAAAATTATACAAAATAATAATAATACTCGAACCGACACGCAAAGTATTCGCGGGCTGGACGCCAAATTTGGTAACTCTGGCCCGAACCATGTACGGTGCTTGGCCAAGAGATAGAGTCATAAGGCTGGCTATGCAAATTATGAGTCGCGACCAAAGATGGCAATCTAAGTTGCCTTAAAAGCACAAACGACTCGAGACCGAGACCTGTTAATGAAAAGATCTTTCATTGATAATTATTAGATTGTGGAGCTGTGGTGGTGCTCTCGTTCGCCCCGCCTCCACGATAACTCCAAGTTCTGGATGCCCTAAAATGGTCAGAGCAACAGGTTGACTTTTGAGTCAAGGGATTTAATTATAGACTCGGCCGTAAGCTTCTGACTAAGCCCGCCATTAATTAAGCCGCCTGCGCATATGGCTTGGACTCGATTATTGTAATTTATTTAAACGCCAATCTATCCATTCATTCAACTGACATGCCCCGGCCCCCCAGCAGTGACTCAGTAACTCGACTATGTCATCGACTTCAAATGCAACTGCAATTTCACGCCAATTCTCGCAGATTAAGACCGACAGCTGACGATCCAAATCAGATTTTGAAGTGTTCTCCTAGTGACCTGGCCTCTGGAGCTGCTCTTAATTACATCGGCGATGGTGGAAAAATCTGCCATCTCTTCTCCAATCTTTCCATCAATAATCGTGCCAAGTGCTGGACTGATGTGCCGCTTCTGCTGCCGGTTTCTTTATGGGTTCTTTGGCCCGGCCTGAACTCTGGAATGGATGTCAGAATTTCTTTCTCACAGCTCGAAGGGGGGGAGGAGAAAAGTAAATTCAAATTTAAGGCTGCCCGGTGCTTTCTTTGTTTGTGGCGCAGGTTTTCAATTTTATTTTCTGCGAGGAAATAAATAATAAAGTCAGTCCACGGCTGGCTAGATAAAAATATCAAAAGTAATTAATTTAAATGGCAGGTTAAGTCTAGAATGCATTCTTCCAAGAACCATGAAAGAATATTATTAATATTTACTTTGGTGAACACCTGAAAGGCAGCTATTTATAGTCTTTCAGCTTTAAAATTTAAATTTTAGACATGCTCTGATGTCAGCAGAACCACCAAAGAAATCAGATAATAGCCTCGCATTTAGTGAGAGAACTCAGGCATTTAATTTGATGTCATTCGGGTGGCATATGAGATATATGAGATGCAGTCACCTTCTCCCAGCACCCAGTACTACCCAGCACCCCAGCACTCATCACAATTACCCACTTTTAGTGACAAATTGTCAAAGCACATGCCAAAGACAAACAATGCAATTGAGCTTATGCAAAGTGTTGATAATATCAATTGGAGAACCCCTGTCAAGTGGCACAGTTGGGGGGCAGATATTGGGACCTCCCCCTATGCCTTCCATATACGAACTGACCTCAGCTCTAAGGGCGTTAGATTTTATGGCATAATTTGTTTAAAAATAAAACCGAGTGATTTCATGGGTCAGTTCAATAAAGACAGGCAGATGTTAATTTAGTGAGAGACTAATTAAACGTAATTTAATACAAGCACTTGACTAAAATGACAAATTACGCTGCTATCAACTTTTAGATTATGTACTAATGCCTTCTGGTTATCTCTCTTGAATCTTTTTCAGAAATAGCACGCGTGCGCGCATCTCTCTTCCAGATCAATGGGGTCAAGAAGGAACCTCTAACCCTCCCAGAGCCCGAGGGCGCCGTTGTCACGATGAACGAGAAGGTCTATGTGCCAGTTCGCGAACATCCAGATGTAAGTAGTGTACCCTCCTAACGATAATGATGATCTAATTTATGGATATTTTGGGAGGCACGGGCTTCCGCCAATTAGAATTGACAACACGTTCACTGAGCAACTGGGCTATACACCGGAAATGGCTGGAAGGTGTGCCGAGAGGTGCTCCATCTCCTCCTCATGTAATCCTCCTCATGCTGCTCAGTCATCTGTTAAGTTGTCTTGAAGACGACAGGAGGCAGCCACCGCCCAGGCAAGATCTGAGATGCAAAGCTGATCCACCCATTAGTCTTGAGATGGTGGCCTACGCATTCTAATACTGTCTAACTAGACTTTTAGTTTATGTGTAGTTTCTCTCAGTGTAGCTGACACAAAATCATTGAAGCGTTTTAGGAAGTCGCCCGTTTCATTTGTTGCTCGATCGTAGGCGTCGGGCCAAGCCCTGCCCTGCCGCATTAGAATTTCATTTAATTTTATGCAATTTCAAATGTTTCCCCCGACATGATGTATATGTCTTTTGTTTTTCTTTTTCTTTAGTTTTAATTTGGAAATTGTTTGGGCGTAGTTTTGTTATTTTTTTCCTGTTGGCTTTTATTTATTTATGGCCTGACAGCAGCTCTCGGAGGGAATTTATTTAACTGCATGACACACTTAGTGCTCCCCATGTTTATGTTCCGATCCAGATAGTTGCATAAATTTAAATAGCATTAATTAGACTCGATGATGCTGCGGCTTCTGTGACAGCTGTTTAAATAGTTTACTTTGGCAAATGGCGCCAATAGATGAGGGTGATGACCCAACCAACTGAAGACTCTCCAAGAAAGGCTTTGTTATCTCATGAGACTAAATTGAAAGAAATCTTTAATCAAAGAACTGCTGAAATGATTATGAACGACTAGTCGAGGTCGTAAATTAAAGAAAAACCTACATATTTTAGAGAAACAAGCCCAGTGGCGGGCGAACACCGTTTGATGATGTTTTCCAAAAGAAAATTGGCACACGGTTCGGATCGCTGCTCCGAGATTTACGATCCTCGACTTTTATTTTTCCACACGATTTTTCAATATTTTTCAGGTGTTTCAAATCTGTCTAGCTCTCGAGATGGAATTTTTGGCTCAGTTTCTGTGAGGGCGGGTCGCTGCTTTCCAATAAATCATCTCACTTTATGGCAATCACTACAGTGAAAATATTCTGACAAATATTTGAAAATGTATATGTTTGTTCTGGCCAAGATAAATTGCGTTTCAAATGGCAACATGGGAAGTGCAACAAGTTGTGCTGCTGTGGCTGCTGCGGCTGCTGTGGCTGCGTCATGGGGCATAAATTTCAAGGCATTAGGCCAGACACTAGGCCGGTGCACACATAATAGCAGTTAATAATTTATACCATACACCATACACTTAACAATGTAAATAGAGATTTGTCAGTATGCCATGTAAATGATCAGCAATTTGTCAGCCAGGGAGAGTGGCTCCTGATTGTATCTCTATCTTTATATCTCGTTTCTCAGCCATCTCCAAAAAAACACATAAATGCAACTTTATGTGTTTTTGTCCACAAAAATCCACAGTGGACAACGACAGCAGCAGCAGCAGCAGCGGTCCGGGTATTAAAACAGTTTACAATTAATTACAGCCAACTATTAACGCTACAAAGAAGCATCTGTTGGCATGTCCCATCTCTCTCTATCGCCCTGCGGCTGTCTCTCTCTGCCTGTTGGCTGTCAGCGCTCATTGCTCATACGCCCCGTGGCGCGACATGCGACATGCGACAGTTGACCCACTGAGCCTTGCCAGCTAGCTTCTGAGTGATTTTGCTTGAAACTGAAATTATGTTTGACATTTTTTTATTTTCGCAAATTCATTCTCTGATCTGTCAAGCGTTGTATCTATTTGGAATAGGAACAATTAGATGCCCAGAGTCGAAAATACTTTAAAGATGAGGCAAGCTAATATATAAGGCCTATATTGATGAAAATCATTCCACAGATCAATACATCAATTAATTAATCACTCTTTCCGGTGATTAATGCTATGGTCCACACCCACACAGTGGAATATCTAAACCACAGCCCACACTTCCATCCATTTGACATTCGATTCGTGTTAAGGTCACTCTGTCACTCTGGCTGTCTTTAGCCTCCATTTAGACAAATCGATCAACTGAATTACATTCAAGAGCATAACCATAACCATCACCATCACCATCAGCATCTTCAACTCACTTTATGGAAGCTGCCTTGTATCTCCTTCCTATATTTTTTTTGTATTTTATTGTCTAAGCCGTTAACACAAAAGCCAATTAATCTACAAACTGCAGCAAATTAGTCATAAACACTGAAATGCTAATTACGTGCAATTTTTATGTACATTTTTGGGTTGTTTAAGTAATTTAATAGGCACTGCCTTGCTCCTCCACCCTCTCCCTCTCGAAAAAACAAGTCAACACTAATGCGTTTGAAGCCAACGAATTGTGGCAAGCATTATTTTTCAAGTTTCAGTGCTGCTGTTGTTTGTCATGTCAAAGTTTGATTTATTTTTCCGTGTAATAGACGAGCTTTTTGTGTTCCACAGTCAGCGTAATTATGTCTGCTGCCGCGTGTGGCTCTCCCACTCGTAGACACCCATTTAGCAAACTATATATATTCATAGTAGTAACTGAGAGTGTAATCTATTTGATCTATGCCGACCCCTGCCTATGAATTTCTGTTTCCAATTTGTTTCAGGCCAAAGCCAAAGCCAGCGGCTCGAGCTGAAAGATTTGCAAAGCTATCTCTGAGTCACACTGGCAACGTGATTAGATCTGTCCTAGAGACACACAACTATAAAATATTCTAAATATTCCCTTTGTGTGGGGTTTTCAAGTTGGCACCAGCACCCATCATCCAGCATTTCAGCACCTTTGTGCCCAATTGGATTCCTTAATTTGATATACCCACCGGTGGTCGGTCGTCATGGTGGCAGATGTAGGAGGAGGAGGTGGCTTTCTTATCACAGACTTTCTTCGTGTGTTTGTACTTTCCTTTTCAATGTACTGTATGCCCTTTGTGCGAGAGCCACCTCCTCCTCCTTCTCCCAGCTGGCTTATCAATTATTTGCCCTCGTACCTTTGCCATATTGAAAATTGTTGTACGAATTGTATAAATACACAGCATATACACACTGCGGCGGCCTTATCTCGGCTGGCAATCTGTAGTACATGCGCCTTGTAGTATAGCATCTATTTACCCACTTCACTTCACTTCACTGGGATCCACTCCACTTGACTTGGCCTGCAGCTCCCGTTGTCATCTGGCTTTTGTCTGTTTTTCACTGGCGGGCCCGGCGGGAAAAGCCAATACAGCGAAATATTACAAGCAAACATTGTGTGTGTTGTGTTTTCTCTTAGCCTCTTCGGGTCGAAAGTCTTTAAAAGCACGCGTGCCACTTGAGGAGGGCATGTAATTCCACAAAAGAAGCAATCGGAAAGGGTTTTCCTGGCAGTGGAATTCTTGCCACAATCCTCTTAATATTTTATTGCTTGATTCTATATTGAGTAACTCTTAATCCCCGCTTCTTGAGGTGCTATTGTTGGCTCCCGTAAGCCCCATCATTTATAATTTATTTGTCCAACTCGTATTTGTTTGGCGTTTCTCAATATTTGTAGAACGCCTCATGTGGAAGCTTTCAAGTGCCGCTCGGTTTTAATTTCCGTTTAATGGCCAATGGAAGAGATCTCTTGTGTAAACCTTAACCAGAGCCTGGGTGTTTTAATTAAGCGAATGATACGAAGACGATAAGCAATGCAAATGTTTTGTTTTTACTTGAAAACCCCATTCAAGAGATGCAACTTGGCAACTTTCTCGCCTTGCGTTTTCATCCGGGCCACATTAAATGATTTTTCGCAAAATTTAATTAAAATTGCCAGAGCCATTAGGCATTAACTGCATTCTTCTGATCAGCGGCAATTTTCAATTGATTCGATCTCGGCATCGGCATCAGTGGCAGTTGCAATTGCAGTTTCAGTTGCAGATGCAGGCTTTCAGATACAGATACAGATACATTCGAACTGACAACAGCTGCTGCTGCTGGTTGCCGTCGGCTATGGGCTGTCCGATGTCGATGATCGCATCGCAGCCAGCCACCAGCACACACACACACTGTGTGCACTTAGCATCCAATATCTCACATCCCATCACATCATCGCACTCGAAATGGCTTTCCAGATGTGAGTGGCTTGTGGGTGGGTTGTTTTTCTGCCAGAGCCTGGGGGCCAGAACTAGTTTAGCTGGCCATTTACAATAACTCAGATGGAAATTGTTTTGATCTGGCCAATAAATCGAATTTATCGGCAAGCCTGCCAGCCAGCCGCTTTTCGCAATCTGTGTAAAGTTTGTAAGTATATGATAATTGGGCGCCACGTCAGGCTGGGAGATGGAAGTTATGGGCTGGGGATTGCCTCAAAAAATCTATTTAAAGTTTGCAACACATGGCCTGAGAGTAGCGCCCTTTGATGGGAGATTAGCTAGCCTTATAGTGTTCGTCATAGCCAGGCATGACTCTACTGTTGGCCAACATGCCTAACAAGCCTCCTAAACGCAAATGCCCGGCCCGTCCATCATCATCGACAAGCGCGTCAAAAGATTTTTGCACGCTCCGCTAATAGTTTAAGCAAAATTCTTTTGAATGTCGCCGCCTGTTGACTGCCGACTAGCTGACTGGCTGACTGCATTTGGCTAAATGCACAAAGAGTTGGCTTGTTGTCTTGTTGTTTCTATCGAAATGATTGGTTTATCGTGCCAAATTCAGGCGTGTCGCCGCGGGTCATATTACGTTGCCTGTCCATTGTTGTGGGTGACTCCAGCCTTCAACGAACCCAATCTGACCAGCGTCATACGCTTTAATAATTTTGACTTTGAACGAATCTTAATCTGAATTGGAATCTGAATCTCAATATGACTCTGAATTTGAGTAATCTGGCATTTATGCATCCAATCTGACTCACGATCTAATGCGTTTTAAATTTGCCAAAAACTTTGAACTTTATGCCAAGTTAAGAGACCTGGCTAATTAGATTGTCTTGCTAATGATTTCCTCTAATTTTGCTCGTCTAATTTGGATTTTATTCATTTCCCTTTTTATTTCCATTTCCATTTCAGTTCAACTTTGTTGGCCGCATTTTGGGACCCCGTGGCATGACTGCCAAGCAACTGGAGCAGGAAACTGGCTGCAAGATCATGGTACGCGGCAAAGGCTCCATGCGCGACAAGAAGAAGGTGAGTTTACTAGTTTATTAAATTAAATTGGAGTATTACTTATGCTTTGGTTAGGGTACTTCTTAGTCTCTATACTTAGACAAACCCAAAAACTCTCACTTATTTTTCTTGTCTTACACATCTTGTCACTCATGTGCTCGGATGATTTAATTTCCCCTCACGAAAACAAAATCTAGAAAAATAAGACAGCAGAAACAGAGAAATAAATCGAGTGTCTCGGGGCGATTAAAAGTATTTTTGTAATTCATAATTGTGGCGAGCCGAAAGGAAGGCATCCCGCCGTTAGACAGACAGGAGAGTTTGTCAAAAAATACGAAATTTCGCCTGCAATATTTTGATAATTTAATAAAAACGATGCCCGACGCCCGACGCCCACTCTGGTATCTGACTCATCGAGTCAGACAGCAACGAGTGCTAAAGAATACAAAATTTGTCGCTTACTTGCATCTTGTAGATAGAAATAGAACGAAAAGTTAGAGACACCGAACCCGAAAATTAGTCATAGTGCATAGACCCACCTCGGGCCAAAGTGTTTTCTTTGTTTTGCCGGCCACTCATCATCACCTGCCCCCAATTTCAGATAATGCTTTTGACCAGATTTCATAGCCTGACAGTGACATGGAATTAGCTACTGGGACTCGCTCCAAAAGACTTTCTTCTAAAATTTGATCCTAATTGATTATAAAAGCCAGATGAGGCATTTGTTGGGTATTTATTGCGGCAGAGTCTCAAGAGTATTTCAATATATTTGTGGCACGTACGCCACAGAAACCATTTGGCCAGAAAGTAATAACCAGAGAAATGAAAAATGGCAATCACATTTTAGTGCGGCATAACCCGCCCACTATTAATTGTTTCGCCCATTTGTTCTTGCACTCAAAACCAAGAAATTCCTCATTTTCGTGTATACATTTCTGAGCAATTTATTCATTGAGGGCAAGTGATTGAATCACTCTGCATACCGAATAAAAATAATACATGATTGCAGATTGCACTTTCGCAGTTGTGCTTAGTTTTCATTGCGGAAACTCGTTCATTCAGAATTGGTTTGCCTAAATACTTAGAATTCCTTAAATGTTTATGTATATTTATTTCAAATTTTTAGGAGGACGCCAACCGTGGCAAGCCCAACTGGGAGCACTTGTCCGATGACCTGCACGTCCTGATTACTGTCGAGGATACCGAGAACCGGGCCAAGGTTAAGCTGGCCCAGGCTGTTGCCGAAGTACAGAAGCTGCTTGTGCCGGTAAGTGTTGAAAAATAGTAAAGAAATTGAAAAATAAATTCGAAAAAAGACCACATTGCGTATACGTGATGGCACAAGCTTCAAGTAAAATACTGAAATATAAGAAGATCAATTAAAAACTATTGCGTGTACCCGTGCTCCCGTTCCTCCCTCCTCTTTGTCTATGTTAAATCAATAATAAAATTATTAAATGATTTCGAAGCTAAAATTTAATGAATGTTAACCATATAATTAATGAATTCTTTATATTATTTCTCATTCTCTCTTACCAAAAAACCTAATCTGCTTTAATGTATTCTGTTTAATACATTAAAACCCGACCAAACAAATGACACAATGACACAATGCCACATGCCACATGCCACATGCGAAACAAAACACATACTTGTACTAACAGCAAGCCGAAGGCGAAGATGAGCTAAAGAAACGTCAACTTATGGAATTGGCGATTATTAACGGCACTTATAGGGACACAACAGCGAAAGCTGTCGCAGGTATGTCAACCAAGCCTCTATATCTCCTCCGAACCTCCGAATATATATATATCTTCCCTAACCTTCTAACCCCGACATAGCAAGACACACAAAAAAATACCAATAATACCAGCTAATCGAATGTCGAAGATCTAACCATTAACGAATCGCGGCGAACCGAACTGATTTAAAGTCGATTTAGGGTTGTTGAAACTAGATCCAATATATCGATATCTCAATGATATATTGTTTGAATTTCAAAGTTAACAAAAATACCAAGTAACTTTTCAGCATTAAACTCGTTTTCTCACAACTCTATTATCTGGGCTGTGATTTGACTTAGTAATGTTACATAAAATAGTTTGCAAAAATGTATCGACAAAACCGTTTGGAGAGTTATCGTTTTTATGACAAAAAATATATCGAATTAGAATAATCTTATAGTAGTCTTATTGCTAATCCAATTACATTCTACTATATATTTCTCTTGACATCTTGCTGAAAAATAATACTTTCGTCATCTGAACCAAAATAATCGATATTGCCGCGATATTAATCGATAATCGATATTTCAACAACCCTAATTTGATTCGATTTCTTCGATTTCTAATTTCTCCGATTTAAGCAGCTTTCTCATGCGTTGGCTCTCCTTCTGCTTCTGTTCTGTATCCCGCAGTGAGCGATGAGGAGTGGCGTCGCATGGTGGCCGTATCCGACACCCGCCTGCTGACTCCCGCCGGATTGCCGGGCCTGGCCGCCCAGATCCGCACCACGCCCGCCGCCCCGCTGGGCGCCCCCCTGATGCTGAATCCCCGTATGACCGTCCCGACCACGGGCGCCAGCATACTCTCCGCCCAGGCCGCACCGACGGCCGCCTTCGACCAGACCGGAATGATCTTCGCACCGTACGGGGATGCCTACAACTACGCCGCCCTCGCCGGCAATACTCTGCTCACGGAATATGCTGATCATAGCGGTGGGTTGTTTGCCAGATAATCGATAACCGATAATCTCAATATCACATAAATCTCTCATCGCTATCTCTCTATTATGATTTACTTTTCGCACATACAACACACCATACTTTACTATACCACGCGCGAAAACACTCATCTTAACTAGGCAGAAGTCAGGCAATTAGATAGGGTGAATTACGAGCAGAATCAACAAGAAGCATATCACTATCAGACAAGTACACGCCATTTAACACACTGACACATACAGATCCGACACATTGCGCATATGCCGCGTTGGCCTCTCAGATGCTGGCGCTTGTTTTCCTTTCCTCTTAACACATTAACCAAGTGCAATCGATTCAGTTTGTTATGACAGCTAAACAGCCAGCGAACTCGAGTATCTAGTATTATTTTTTCAACTCAATAATATTGATTATTCTATTCTATTTTTTTTTGTTTAAATGATTTTAATGATTGTTATGTTAGTTGTCATGTGAAGGATTTTTTAAGTGCATTTCATTTATGAGGAGCTTGCATTTATTTTTGTTGCTATTAATTAAGTTATATAGAGATGTCGAGAACCCCTCGAGAAGCTAACCCCCATAATGACTTGCGTTCAGTGCCATAAAGTATGCTATGAAAGTTTTGTTAGCCGAAATGCACGCTTTTCTAACCCAAGCTTTTCCCAAACAATAATCAAGTAATCAGTAATCTTATTATTCGATTTCCAATAACCGAAAGCTAACCAGAACTCATTACCCGCCTTTGACAAACTTGTTACCAATTTGATCTTATCTTTATTTGTTATAAATATAAATATTTCCAGTTGGTCGATATATGCATGCTGGCTCCGTCTTTTGAACTTCTCTCTATCCCTCTCAATAATTTATTCCTTGATCGACAGAGTTACGAAAGCCTAGAGAGGAAATCCATTTCAAATGTTTAGTCTAAAGCCTAAAGCCTAAAGCCTGTAGCTTGTAGTTACAGTCTCACACACCCACAACGCCCCCACTGAAACAGAGTTATACACCCACACGAATGTATAGACTGTACATAAACAATTTTATATATTAAACCTAGAGACAACAAAACGGCACAACAGCAACAGTAAAAAGCTAAAAACAAACATCATAATATAAAATACTCAACGGAAAATGAATTTTTGTTAGTTGTTAGGTCTCAAAGCAATAAACATTTCTGCAAATGTGCAATATTGGCAAAAATAAGTGATTTTTAGGCCTATAATTTTCTAGTAGTTCTTTTAATTATATCTTAACCCTTTATTTATGGTTCGACTTGGATCGTTTGCTTCTATGATTTCCCCCAAGCATACATGAGTATATTCTAGTTGAGAACAGCAACCAGAACAGCGACAGCCAAAGCAAGTTGTTGATTTTCGTATGGTTTTTGTTTTTTTTTATCCCGCAAGTATTCAAATTAGTGACTGTCAACTTAGTTGCTGAGTTAACAAATTCGTTTTATCCCGTTCTTTTATCTTCTGATTAATAAGTTTTAGTGTTTTGTTTTAAAATGGTGAGAGGGTCGAGTGTTAAGTGCAATCTAGATTTATAGTTTTATATGTATGTGTAGTGAGTTGTAGAGTTGCGAGTTGGGGGGACAGTATTTATGCACAAATGTACCTTACGAATATTTAGCGAGGAAACCGTTTCAATTTTTCCAGCCAGTGCCATTTCTCGTCAAAACAGTACTTTGAACAGAATTGCAGAAAGCTTTTTAAAATAGACATAATATATTTCATAGATGAGGAGCCTTGAATCAAGTTGGTGCTTAATCAATTACTCGTATTTCAAGTTAGTTTCTAAGTTAAGTCGAGGCTCTCCGGCAGCCGTCCAGGACCAGAAATAGAACGCACGACTAGTCAGCAAGCTGGAAGATAAATAACAAACTGCTTTAGGAACAATGTGTTGGCAGCCGTGGGCCATTAGCTTGAAGGAAACATTATTAGGCTAAAAGCGGCTTGAAAATCACTTATTTTGTGTCAGAGGAAATCAGAGCGATCTGAGCAAGAAAATATACCGAATTAAAAACACACAAGCGCACACATTATAACGACTCATTCCAAAGAAGCAGAGAATTTAAATGTTACAAAGTAAAAGTTAAAGAAAACAGAACATTAGAAGAAAGATTTTCTCCCCCTCGGTTGGCAATTGGCTTGTGAGCAAAAAAAGTTCCAGCAAAGGCAGCTATAAAGCAAAGCAAAAGCATGCTTCAGTTCGAGCAAGCATATATACACATTATTGTATATGTTACGATGTACGGAATATTTATTAGATTTAAGTGTATTTTGTAGCGAATATGTTCACACTTATTTATACCTATATAATCGATATGCATATATATATATATATACAACCTATATCTCTACATGTATCGTATCGTATATTTTAATAGGCGCCATTAAGCAGCAGCGTCGTTTGGCGGCTAACAGAGAACATCCCTATCAGCGTGCAACGGTCGGAGTGCCAGCCAAGCCGGCGGGTTTCATTGAGATACAGTAGAACCTTTGCACAATCGACATTAAATCAAACAGAATAACCCCTTTATTTAACCATATCAACCAAGAAGCAATTTTAAATCCTTTGTTTTTAAACTCAAATTTGCGAAGAAGACCAGCAACCACTGACCAGTCTTGGTTGTCTGACTTTTACATTGTTTGATGAAGAGCGGCCACCGATCGCCGCAATCGATTTAGTTTAATTTTTTACCGACTTTGGATTATTTAATTTGAAATTATTGTTAACCCGCTGCTGCTGTATCTGTATCCACAATGAAATCCCGGACCGGAAACATTGGCCAGGCCAGGCCGACCTGCCCTGATCAGAGTTCCCAAAAAAAAGCAAAAGAATTGTCAAGCGCACCGCCTCCACAGGTTAGTTGTGTTTCTACTCACTTATTTATTTTTATCAAAATATTATTTTCTCTGTGTGTTATCGTTTTTCCCTCCGGAATGAAATGCAACCGAGTTCTGGTCTCGATTGCATTTCAATCCGACTGCGAGACAAAATAAAAACATAAACTTTGATAAATACAAAAAGTACAGACACATGCAAAATCTATCAAGCCAGAAGATATGCTGCTGGAATAAAAAGTTGATTATTATTTTTTATACAAATATATTTATACAAAAAAAATTTTTATATTATTTTTCCTTTGTTTCCACGTTGACTTGTGCCTTTGATGTTTTACAAACACCCAAAAAAAAAAAATTATTAAAAAATTTGAAGCAAAAAAAAAAAATACGAAGAAAATAACTTCAAAACATTTTAGTAGATTTTGTAAGCCATATACAATATTTAAAAGAAAAACCCCTCTTTATGAGATATGAATTTTACATGTGTACCCTAGATCGTAAGACCCCTGTTTAGTCTGCTAAGATTATATGATTATTTTGTATTATGCGTTCGAATGTAAATGTTGCAATTGAACCGAAAGTGTACCACAAGGAAATAAAGATCAATGATTTTTGTTGAAGTAAAAAGAAAAAAAAAATTAAAAAACAAAAAAAAATGAACACAACAAAAAGCAAACAAAACAAAATCCTTACCAAGTCTTATGATTCTTTCTGCGAAATGGACTTTTTCAGAGTTCGTCTTAAAATAAAAATCGATACTGAAAATCTAACGCTTTCCGAACTTAACCCCAAAAATAATTGAATTAAAAAAAGTATTTATATTCAGTCGTCACGCATAACTCATTGATCAGAATTTATTAATCAAAACACTTCACTTTGTTTGTTTGCAACTCTAGTTACTAAGAGAACTTAACTTTAGGCTCCAGCCATACCCACCGTCCATGAGACCATAATAAATATATCACACACACCACACCCCAACCCCCCCGTGGGGATAACTTACTATATGCTTACCTTCCACCACTCCTCGATTGATCATTAATCCAAACCCACCCACCACCATGCAACTGTACCAGAAACCACTCCTCCGATGCTATGGCATATGCATTTACTATATAATCAATTTATGTATTCTCCAGAGCATATATTCTTGTATCCGATATATGCGCCCTATATGTCTACTACCACACTTAATCCTTAAGCTTACGGGTTGCGGTTCTTCAGTAATATATATCTGATCTTTTAGACTAGTTAGGTAGATGAAAACCCCCAAAGTCCGAAGTTGTCATAAAATTGCATTTGCATAAACACTGATGTAATATATTCGAAATGAAGACAAGTTACTAAAATGGTTTGCAAAACTCACTAAACTAATGTCAAAATAAGAGACAAAATTTAATAAACACCAAACAATATACATACACCGATGTAAATAACGCTTTTCTATAAATATTATTTTGGCATTCTGTAAAAAAATATTAATACAACTTAAAACCGAGAACGTTGTCAATTATGCGCTTATGCACCTGCAATTTTATGTATTATTTTTGTTTATTTGATATCCCCTAATAATTACGTGATAAATTCTTATAAATAGCATATTAAAACTATTAAAATGGTATAAACATACTTTATATAGCCACGAATACAAAAAAAGAGAAATGTGATGTAATATTATTGCTAATTATAACTAACCAAAGGCCAAGTTAACCAAAAAACAAACAAAAGAAAACTAGTAAATGAATTAATCTGAAAACGGATGATAAGCTGTCATGTTCTTGTAAATTTCAGTCTGATGACAGAGAATTAAATAACCATCAAATGTCGCATCTAAATAACTTTCAAAACACACAAAAATGTCCGCACTATCCACAATTTCTATATAAAATATTTAATATTAAATACGATTTCCGGATGATAAAAAAGCTAATGATAATAATGTATGTGTTTGTCTACTTGAATTTTAACTGTTTTAGCCGCCTCGAAGTCACTTTGAGGCGCTAGAAAACCAGCAAAAAGTTACTAAACGTTTGTGCGGCATATCCTTAAATCATCTTTTTTTATATATATGTTTCTATATGCATGTCTCTGTGGCCACTCCCCACTGATCCAGCCATATTTTTGGTAACTTTTTGCGCTCACGACTCGCATAACCTAGGATTATAGAACATGATGAACTAACTGCTAACCACAAAGTATTAATCAAACTCTATTTCCACTTCTATGAATTTCTCTCTCTTTACATGCTAACTAAAACAAAAAACAAAAACAAAAAATGAAAAAAACAAATTAATACCCCAAGAATAAAAACTCAAACCGAACATCCTAAAAACCATAAATATCCTCCATTCTCCATGAACCATCTACCAACCTGCCTGCCATAGACGAGCACGGAAATAAATAAATAAAATAGCAGCCACAGCAGCAGCATCAGCATCAGCATCTCAGCCAGGCCAAGAACTGTGTGTGTATGTGCATCCACTGCAGCTAACAAAAAAATGTAACAAAAAGCCAGAAAACAGAAACAGAAACTGAAAACTGAAACTGTCACTGACACAACTACTAAAAACACGCCTGAATTTCACTCGGATGCCGTGCTGTTTTTCACTCATTCAACATGCAACATCCGCGGCAACACGAGCGGCACATCCAGCAGCAGAAGCAGCTAAAATATAAAATAAAATGCAGAAAACAGAAAACCCCTCCAAACGAAAAGAAAAAAAAAAAGAATAGAGAAGCAACATCAGTATGTATTGAATCTTGTGGCCATTAAAACTGTCAAGTTTTGCCAGCAACAAAGCAAAAAAACAGAAGTAAGCAAAACAATTGATAAGGGAATCGAACATAGAAGTTAGTTTAATTATCATAATCTAAAGGAAAATACAAGTTAGATCGTAGTGAAAAGTTCAACGAACAAAAACATACTTAAAGCACGCATTAATATATAACTTTATATTTAATATGCATATACAAGTTTGTATATAATAACCCCAAACCCCTAAACCCTAAAGTCCCTAAGAATATCATGTTAACGGAATCTCATCAAAGAAACTCTAAAACGAAAAAAATCGTTAAATTTTTATAATTCAATCGTCAGTCGAAAAGAATGAATCTTTCAATAGTTAAACGTTAGTTGTTTCCCTACCCGCATCCCCGAGAATTCATTGTAAACCACAAAAAGATTATGCGAAAATCGTTCCAGGCAACTCATTATGTTTGGGAGCACGATTTTGTTTGCTATGCTAGCTAAGTAAGTGCAATGCATATTATATTTTTGTTAAACTGACGCAAATTTTTGTTAATGAAGTATTTTTGATTATGTTATATTTATACAAAATACACTTTCCGCCCCCACTTCAAATTGATTGTGTGAATTGCCAGGAAGTGGGTGGATCAGCTTTGGAAAGCGGGAAAGGAGCATAACACCATATTGAAAACACGTTTAACAGCCATATTTAGTTAATGAAACGACCATAATAGCTATGGTGAAATAATATCAAACATTCATAATGTACAATTAAACGCTACACTTAAATTATTTTTATTTAATGGTAATGTATTATACGCAGTGCAGGAATAAAAACAAAAGCACAAGTTGCTCTGCCCTGATGAAGCAACAACAAAATTAATTCTTTGGTTTAAAATAATGGATTATCTGGCATTGTTTAATCTCTTAACTTCTTTTTATTTTTGTTGGAACAAAATGCAGCCAGATCGGCAAAGAACAAAACGAAACGAGCGTAAATTGCATTTAAATTATGGTACAAAGCTAAGCAATCGATGGACCAAACGTTATTTTAAATTAAAGAATTTTTACGTTTTTGCTGAAAAAAACTGAAGATGAGAATGTTATCATTTGTCGAAACGTGCCTTAATGAAGTTGAATGAAGAATCGGCACCAATCAAAATAATCAGTCTAATAATGAATAACTAATAAGTGAGAATAGATAACTTTTTGAAATTATTTTGCAAAGTGAGAGAGACCTTATACTCAGAAATAAAAGCAAGTGGAGCCGGCCACCCAGTTGGTTGACTATAATAACATTAATATAATATTTAATTTTTTTATTAATAATAACGGCAATCGTGCAATCGTGGCAATTCAAGCATTGCTAATGATGAGTTCAGAATAACCCCAAACAAAATATTAAACGAAAATATAATTCTCTCGATGATTGTGTTACAAAAACAGAATACATAACTTAGATCATAGGCTCATTAATCGAATGTTGTGCCTCTTAATCAATATTCATCCATTCGCCAGCATCATTATCTTAGTTTCATACGTTTCAGCAGAGAATCATCGATATATTGTGAAGTAATCAGTCCTTATGTTCAAAACCTAAAACTATATCCATTACGCACATGTAATTATCTACGTATGTATCTGTATGTACGCGTATCTATAACTTTTTGCATAAATAAATGTTTTTAAAAAATCCACCATGTCCAACTGTAGAAATTCTTGGGAAATGGTTTGGGATAATTTCTTTCAGCTCACGTGGCCAATAAAATATTAAATTTATTCAATTGGTCGGCATTTATTTAAATCGGATTAAATCAAACGGAATGAAATAAGCTGTGCTGATGCTTAAACCCTCAAGAATTTTATTGAGAGCCGTCCCACTCAGAGTGAGTTTTAAAATTGGGATATAAATATTGATTCGCAACTCATGCATTTAAAAATTTTTCAGATTTCATAGGAAACATGAAGAGCTCGAAATGCACATCTAGTCCTTTATTTACGAACAAAAAGGATTTTGATTAGGGTCGAGTTTCAAATCTAGACTAGAAGGAAGCTTTCAAACAAAGAACTTCTTGGAAACACGTCCCTCTATTGGGTTAATTAAGAGGAAGTCCCTGTGGTCCTGGTAACTGGGCACTGTGGCCTCCAGCTTATTCAGAAATGCGACACTCGGAGCAGGCAACTGCGGAGTGCGTAGGTGCAATCAATCAGCCTGAACTTGGCCTGAAGAACACTGACAAATTGTGTAGACGCTAATTTATTCCGAGAGCCTGAGCCTTGTCCTTTGCCGTGCTGTGGGTCTACTGTCGGCTTGGGCACAAAATCACTGTCGCCGTCACCTGCCTTTGTGTTGTAAACAAAGGAACTCGCACGTGCACGTGTCAGAGTCGAAGGTGCGCAGGCGCCACTTAACAGCCCTCTGACAGCCAGGACCTTTACGTTAACAGAACTCCGTTGTCGGACGTACTTTTATATCCTGGAGACTGAGGTTCGTCGGTTCAGTGCAGTTTCGGCGTTTGAACGGTTCGTTTCTCTGTTGAACTCCATCAAAATTACTTGCCAGCCTGGTAAATTCAGTTCCCAATCTCGAGTCGTGGCAACAAGTGTCCTCCGAGGATGTGCGTAAGAAACTATTCACCAGTCAGTGTGATACTCGGTTACTGTGTTGCTCTGCTTGGAGTTTCTGTGGCAGTGGTGCAGTGCCAAAACGAAAATTCCTCAATGGTGGCCATTCAGAATGAAGTGGCAATCGAGGAGCAGTGCGGCAACACTCAGCGAATGGTGGACGAGTGCTTCAAGGATCTGCCACCGCACCTAATGGAATTCCTGCAGAACACCAAAATTGTCATCAGTAAAAAGGAGATCACCACCAAGTGCAAGTAGGCATAAGGGTGGAACTCTAATGATTAAAAGTTAAAGAATAAATGCTTAAAAAGTGTAATGGATTCATTTTAAATCTTACTTTTTACAAAGAGTCAGTTATTTATAAAAGCCTGTGTATGAATATGGAAACGGGGCCTTGTGACGAGTTAATCCATCGCTTAAAATAAATCAATTTGGCTGCACATTCGCGTTTTCCATATGAGGACTATCCCACTCTGGGGCAATTGAGTGCGAAAAAGTGACATGAGGTGTTAACTGAAAAGGGGGACATTCATTATTGATTACGCGCCTCAAGTCGCTTAAAACGATTTATTCATATTTTCCCGGAGGCCTCCAAGCAGTGAAAGTTATTCTCGAACGTGCTTTCTTTGACACGGGCCAATATCCTGACTTGAGTGGGGTATCCTCCGCTGTCTGGGACCTGGGCGGAGATGATTAATTATTCGAGATTCAAGTGCCAAAAATAAAATACAGACTTTTGCCATTTAAGGCCATCCATGGACTAATTGCTATAGAGCTCACGTCAAATTTGCTGTTGACAGGCATCCAAATTAGACTAATAATGTGCTGTGGGAGATGCGATTTAATAGAAAGTTTGCTAATTGGTCTGGTAGTTCGAGGCAATCAGGGATTTGAATTAAATATAATTTTTGGCATTAAAGCATAAACCACACAGGTGGTCTGACGAGGTCTGGAAACTATATTAGTTTATGTTATTGTTTATTTACATAATTTTCAAGAAACTTGCCACAGATGTCACACTTGATATAATTTGCATATTATTTAGAAAAACAACCTTAGTCTAGACTTGTAAAGATTGTGGCTTGTAAAGGCTTTAAAGACTCAAAGCTTGTAAGCTGAAAATTAAAAAATATTTAAGCCTGAGCTGTACCTTGTTTCACACGACATGAAAGAGGATATATATAGAAACAAAGAGGAAAATGTATAAAATATAATTAATGTTGAATGTGCAGACAATTGATTTGCTGGGCAGGATGTCACTGAGTAGCTTCACGAGTGCCAATCAATTATTTCTCACTCAATTGTCCTTGGGCTAAATCGAATTATTTATTGCAGCATATTCAACCGGGGCATGAAATGCTTCGACTCCTACATGAAGCGTTGCCTAAAAGATCGAAAAAAAGACTCGTTCGAGGCGAATGTGGAAGGAGCCAAGCGATTTTTCAACAAATTCTGCTCCGACCCTGATTTTCAGAGGGGTAAGTTTCAACCAAAATTGGGAAACAAACACCAAATACAAACAACATAAAACATAAAAGTGGCCAGTTGACACCTGAGCGGGCATTAGCATACCCATCTGGGCTCTTCTGGCATTACACCAAAAGCCACAATCATCCAAAGATACCATCGGATTATGACAAAGTCCGGGGGCAAAGCTCGTGACTAAGCTAAGGCACAAGGATACCCGGATGACAGGACTGAAAGTGCCCATCCACGCAAAACAGTATCATTATTTATAGACGACTTTCAACGCTAACGCCCCCGAACTTTGTTTTCTTTCTCGGTTTCTCGCCAACTCTTTCCAGACTATCTGCGGCACAAGGACTGCTTCTCCTACATCCAGCTGGACTGGGTCAGTTGCACCTCCGAGTTCGAGACCATCCTGAGCGACGAGGTGCACGATGAGACGAGAAACGCCAGCGTCAAGTTCCTTGAATTCTGCTGGTACAGTTAAATAATAAAATAATTAAATAAATATTTATTATTTCTACCTGTGTATAATGCATGTCATAGCAACCCAATTATTGCCACACTAAGTGGCACTTTTTTGGAATCGATATCAATTAAATGGATGGGGTTTTTCTTTGCAGTGCCCGATACGCGTACGAAAATTGCATCTACAACAGTGCCCGGTACAAGTGCTATAAAAACTCGGCGGAGTTTGCCCGCGAGACGGCCAAAATGCTTTCGGACGAGAAGCATTTCAGGAACTGCGCCGTCCTCCAGCACATCTGCGCCCACGCTCCACCCGGTGGCGGAAGACTCCGGGGGCAGTGGCTCGGCCTCCAGCTTGTCCTCCTCCTCCTGATCTCTCTGATGCGGATTTGGCCGTAAATCGAAATGTAACTTTGTGTCGAGTGTGAACCTTGTGAGTGTGAGTGTGGTTAAGTGGATTTGGGTTAGGATATAGAGATGAATGCACTCTGAAGACTGTATGACAGCATTGGGTCCTCAATTTTGGGATTTTGCATATCATATATCTACAGACTAAAAGGGCTTCAAAGATTTATAGAGATTCTTCAACTTAATCCCAAAACATAGGATGGCTTAATGGAACTGATAGTGTCATACTTTTTTCTCAGTGCATACATGCATACATGCGGTTAAGTGTGCTGGTCCGAGTCCTGAATCTCCGTTTCTTTTTCGGAATGTCCTATCGAAAATGCCAAGCATTTGGTCCCCTACCCCGGTTCTTTTCGGAAAAGGACCCGAAACTCTCTTTGGGTACCTGTTATCTCTATGTGTCTGTGAATTTTCCGGTGTCGTTTGGGTGTGTGAGTGATGGGGTGTGGAAGTGTGCAAGGGGTTATGGGCGGGTTACTGGGTCGGAAAGCGGCACTGGTTTGTCTTTGTAAAGTTAAGCTACATTAAATGCATATTTCAAATAAATGAATATTCACGTTGTACTTCCTTTGCGGTTTGGTTTTCTGGGCCCCGACCTGTCCAGCTTGGGGGCACGGACTTGTCATGACATTGCTCCCAGGGCAATAACAAAGTTTCATTGAAATTCTTCAGCAACAGCAAGCCAAAAAAGTTCTCCTCTGAATTTCAATATCCGAACACCTGATGCGGCATATTGAAGTATACCCACACACCCAAGTATTTCAACAGAAGGTATAGTTTGTTCCTATTGCTATTGTCTATTTTTTGGTTACTAGAACCTCGGTAGTGCTACTACCGCTGCAATTTAATATCGACTTCGATTTGGAAAAAACTTTGCCGCAACGAAAACTCTGTGAAATGGAATATGTTTTGTGTTCCTGGAATGGCGTAGCATACTTTTAAGCGGCGTGCAATTGCGGTTCAGGGGGGACTCCTATGCTGGAATAATAATGAACCCGACGCGTACATCATTATTCTTGCTTCTGAATAGTGCAGGGGATACTTTTGCGATCCGAATGCATTCTCATAAATAATGTAAGCCAGATGCCATCAGCAATTTCCAAAGTTTTGCCGTTACTGTAAACTACTGCCTTTCAATTTTACTTTTTTATTTTTGAGAAAAACTTTTGCAGTTTTTTTACTTTGTAAGCATCAGCTGTTGAATCTAATGCCCATGAAAATTTCATGATGGTTCAATTAAAAAAATTACAAAAGTCTTATACTTTCGAGTATAAAAATAACTCATACGCACTGTTGACCGGGTGGCTGTACGCTAATAAATAAAAGGAAAGTTTTGCTTTTTGATTCGTTAGTTGACGTTAGTTGAACAGTTTGGCGCCCGTGATAGTTTTATTTTGGTCCAATTGCAACAATAAGGAAAAAAGAATGAAAAAATGTAACTCATACGCCCTGTTGCTCTAGGAGCTAACCAGCTTACATTCAAAGCAATTTTGTAACTTTAATATCAGTTAGGTAAAATATTTTAAGCCTTTTGTATAACTCCGTATACAATTTTCGATGATAGAAGCGCCTGTGGTGCCTTCCAAACCGAAAGTGTTTTCAGCCTTGTGGCTTCCAAGTGTCTAACAAAAAATTGTGGCCACTGCAAACCCAATTTCACTCTTTTTACCAAGGCTCTTTCCCTGCGTCATTCACTCTCAGGTTACGCTTCCAATGCTTTTTAGCCCTTAAAAGTCAAGTCCTTTTTAGTCCGTTTTTTTCTTCGCAAAGGTGAAGTCTTTGAATTACACTGAGTCCATGAATCCACAGTTTTGTGTTTTTGCGTAACTTTTTGAATTAGTACCAATTGATTCGGACGATTTAACATTTTTGAGAAACTTCAATTTTTAAATTAAATAAAATTAAATTATTTGGAAAACGACTGCGCAAATATTGTAGAAAATCTTATTAAGGTTAAACCGTTTCTTTCACCTTTATTTTCCAAAGCAAAATTTCCAATCTAAAATACAAAGTTTACCCGTTTAAGGTACTAACTTCCCGCTGTCGGTGGTCGGTATTAATTTTGTGCGGTGCTTCGGTTTTACCTGCTACATGGAAATTGAACGCTAATGGCTCTGTCAGAAACTGCACTTTGCTGCGATATGTTATTAGTCCGGGTACCTGCCACTTTTCATCAGAGTTGATACGCTGGGAAGCTGTGATGGCTGAAAGAAATGGGGGCGTAGGAGAAAAGTGGTTCTTATTAGCTGGAAAAGAGTCAGCGAAAATTGTAAAAAATTAAAACAAGTGAAGAATGTCCGATGAAGCCTTTGTAAATTGAATCACTCTTAAAACGCTCCCTTTGTGATTTTTTAATGTTGTAGAGAAACTGTCAAGTGCATTCTGGATAGGGAAGCTACAGATTTTTGTGTAGGAAAATGAAAAAGGGCTTATTTTAGACTCCACAGTAATTGGTTTATCTAAAACAAAGAAATGAGAGCTCACCCAGAAAATGCAGGCAATGCAAGGATAAACAAAAATAGCTATGGCCTTTTTCAGTCTCTTGAAAAAACCAAGAACGCCTACGTTTGCTTTCCATAAATCAACAAGGCTTAAAACCAGGATAAGCCTTTGCCGACTGCATGATGAAATGAAATTTAATAATGCCTGAAAAATCGATTCCGGGTCGTTAAGTTCGGCTAAGCTCACCAGAAAACCCTTGTACACAAATCGAACTTTTAATTGATTCAATTAAGTGGCAACGGACGGATGAATTCCATCGGCGGCTCTTGGCCTCGGCTTTTGGGGAAATTCGATGCGTTGCATTTTTAACAAGGGGCGAGCCGTGTAATTAAGACTGATAAGTACAGGGGCGGAAACTTTGAAACGCTTATCAATTATTTCCACTCGCTGAAAGTGCCACGAGTTGCCATGACCCCAAGTCCTTGTCCATAAAACTATATAATTAAAGCATTGTTTGGAATCTTAATTTATGCAGCAGCAAGTTCTAGTTTACCGAAAAGGGAACTACTTGGAAGCTCCTCGGTTGGCGCAAGACAATGTGGTTTGGTTTGTACCCAAGTATTTTTTGAATTTGTGGTAGACAGCCTCTTTCTACTATGGGTCCATTGCTAAAAATATGCAAACGGTAAGCAAACGTACAATAAATCAAAATTTAAAATACTGAAGGCAATCCTCTGGGTAAAATTCACAAGCCCGGAGTCTGGACCGTAAAACCAAAAATACTTGCAGCCCTCAACTCAAAGAGCATTCGGCTCTAAAAATTTATGACTCCGGGCAATCAAATCAAAAAATTAATTTCGGACCTGCCATAAAATTACCATTTCTGTTCATAACCCGAAAAAACCAGAGGCCAGGCCCCCAAAAAGCTCTTAAAGTTTACTTCCTCTGGTCTCTGGCTTTTTATTAAAGGCAACAATTTTGCAACGAGTTTCAAGAGTAGTGGTGTGAATGGAAGGGCTTTTTGCAGCATCAAGTACTTTTCTCTAGGAATTTGATTGAAGTGATTTTATTATTTAAATAAAAGCTAACCGATTTATGGGAACACTAATTGTTACTTTAAAATGTCAGAGATGACAGCTTTTTAGATCGATATTAATTCCATTTTAACTACATTATTAATTCTGGTTAATCCAATTAAAATATTAACACTCAAGCCACGATAATTTGCTTAATGAGCACATGAACTGGTTAATCCGTTAATTAAAAAGTTATTATTGTACCTCGTCGGGCAGAGTGCTGACATTTCCGTTCAATACTAGTTACTTTCATTTGTGAATATTACATAAGTACTTGTGTCAACAGTCCCTTAATGGTCCAGTCAGGCTCGACCTTTAGTTCAAAAGATAAAAATTATCAGGCAAATAAATATAAAATTTTTACTTTTCTGTTGCTTAGCACAAGTATGTTTTTTGCACACGTGCAGAAGCCATTTCGTTTTATTTTATTTTACATAAACACAAAACCTAACATCAGCAGACTTTGCTCATTTGCGGACCAAAGACCCAGAAAAGTTTACAGACTTTTTATTTATCCACTTATAACCTGGGTAAAGCCGCGATCATCATCGTAACCACCGCCTCCTCCGTAAGACGCGCCTACGTTGCGTCCACCACCACCTCCGCCATTGCCATATCCAGGTCCGAAGTTGCCTGTGTAGACTGGGCGTCCACTGCCGCCTCCCAGTCCACCGCCACCTCCACGTGCGCCGCCTCCACCGTAATAGTTGCCACCTCCACCTCCTCTTCCACCTCCGTTGACTCCTGTGTAGACGCCAGGACCCTGGCCCCCAGGCGGATTACCTGAAAGAAGCATTCGAATTAGAGTGTTATGCGGTCACTATGTGGCATCTCAATGGGATTGGTTTACTTAATAGGGGAGATGGATGACTATTTGACCACTAAATAGGTAGTAATTAAGTGTTTTAGTTGCAGCTATAGATGGAAAATCTAAAAGCTGATGTAGGAAGTAAATATTGAACATTTTCTCTCCATTTTAGTTGAGTCAATATTGAGTCATCCGAGTTGGCCTCTAGCATGAGCTGTCTTTGAGATGCTTTGTTTGAAATTTCTAAAAATCACCCCTGCAGGTCCTCAAAGTTCACTGCGTATTTCTGTGGGGGAATCCCCTCTACTTACAGTCGTAGCATCCGCCTCCTATGTACACAGCTGCCTCGGTCAGCGCCAGGGCGGATAGGGCGAGAATCGCAAATGCCGTGTAGTGTCTCATGTCGATGGCGAACTCGAACTGGTCTGGACCAGGTACGACGCCGTATAGTCACTTATATACGATGCACTCACCGATCCCCCATTCGATGTCGATCCGAACCTTATCTCTGAAGAGAACTTTTTGCAGTTTAGACTAGTCGCTACGTAAGTGATCATCTGGGCAGGGATTTGCCCACAAAAACAATTATAATCTCGACGAGATTAGGTCTTTGCGGTTGATAGATGCTCTACATTGATGTGATGAAAATAATTATTGATGAATATCTTTACTAATCTATGTATCAATAAATAAAATTTTGGGGATGACAATAATTCCAAAAAAAAATAGAATATTTCTTAGAAGATTAGAGAGTCATCTTATGAGTAATACTATTTTAAAGCTGCAATACTTTTTATTTGCTGATAATTTGTGGCGCACTAAAAAATTGTCAAAAACATGTCATTATATTCGGAGAAGTTCATTTGGCTTTGTTTTGACTCGTAAAGCCATTTTTTAACTGTCAATAGCGGCGCTACGTTTTACGTTCCAGCTCACGAGTCACGACTTCGGGGGTCTGGAACCCGTTTTCTCAGACAGATGGATCGTTGGGAAGCTTCTCTGGAATCGCACTTGCCATTCATGTTCAAAACATCTTGGCATTAATTGCAAACATTATTTTTTTGGGCGTGACTATCATAAATTGTTTCTTGGACAAGTTCAAGGAAATCAATTACGCCGAAGCTGCCACGGGGAAAGCCCTCGTCTTGATAGTGGGGGGAAAATCTTTCGAATACGAAACAAAATCAATACTGTTTATATTTTTGCGAATTTAAAGCAGCGCTCTACCCCGAGCACTCAGGCTTATGCAAATTGAATAGATTGGCATCGATCTATAAACCGGCCTATATAAACAGCGTGAGAGTCTGGCCTGGTCAGTATATCAGATTCAATATGAAGTGCCTGACGTGTGTGCTGCTTTCTATAGCTCTGATTCCGGTTCTGATTAGCGGTAAGCGGTTCAATCATTTCATGTTCAAGTGCCACTGACTGACAGATTCTATGACTGGCAGGCCTCCCGAATCCGAATCCCCAACCCAGTACCGTGGTGGTGAATGGCGTGTGTCTGACTTGTAAGTAGATTTTCCGTTTATGTGGAAAAGTCTCAAAATTTAATTTAAAACAGGTCCCAATCCTCATGGAGACCCTGTCTACTTGGATGGCCAGGAGTACCGCAGCTTCTCTTCGCCAAATAGCAATGGAAACGTGGTCATCTCCCGTGGAAGTGGATATGGAAGGGGGCGCGGCACTATCATCCAACGCGGGGGCAACACCATTGTAAATGGACGGTGTGAGGAGTGCAATGTGGACATTTAAGTACAAAGCTGCCATATTAAAGTCTGAAAAGCCTGGATTATGAACTCAACACTCTTAATGTTCTTGATCGATCAAACTTATATGTGGGAACATGTTTTATATATTCTTGGTCTGATGTGCGACATCAATTCATTTAGTTAAAAGCATTGACAATCGCTTACCCCGCCCTCTGTTCAAACTTGATGCAATGACTGTGATGGTTTCGAGTGCAGAAGGCATCTGTCGTTGGGGAATCTTTGGGAAAACGAATGTTTTACATTGGAGGAGTGTGGGGATAAGAAGTACACTGGGAAAATGCAAATGGGTCTTCATAAAGGTTATTCGTCATTGCTTTCACAAGCCCAAAAGAACGTGTGCTTCTTATACAACTTAAATTCTTTTCACACAATGGTGCCAAAATTTCGAGAGTCCTTAAAGCTATCTGTTTTCCGACATTGGCTTCCTTCTCCCGCCATTCTCCGTAATTGCGCATTAAAGTGACAACAAAAGCGTCACATTCTGCAAAACATTCCATTGATGCGAACAAAATTCAATCTGTCTAAATTGAAAAAAACGACCCGACAGGACGGTTTCGGTGGCTGAAAAATACAGACATTTCCGTTACAGATGCGGCCAATTGAGTAAACACCACCTAGTTCGTGGAATTCTCGGTTTTGTGTCACAGGTCATAGGTCTTCCCCCGACAACACCCAGCGATAGCATGGTGTCCTGCGAAAGTCAACGGGGTGTGAGCATCGAAGCAATATACGCGAATCGATATGCATTACGTTCGGGGTTTTAATGCACTTGCTACCCCAGACAAGCAAGCCTTAAGTTGCGCGTGCAACATGGCGTATGCGTAATGCCTTCCAGAGCCTAAATATATTTACGTTCGCGTTGTAAACAATGAAGGCAAGGATTGCGAGGAATGCTATACAGTTTATAACAAAAACAACTTACCCCGCTTGTTTCGCAAGCTTTTGCCGCACTTTTAAGCTGGCTGTTCAAAATATTCTTCAAAATTAGATTTATATATTACTGGCATCTAGGGAAAAATTCAATTTGTTGAAAGGAATTTAAAAGTTGGGATGCTGGGCTGGAGTTTGGGAAAGAAGATGTTAAAGTGATTTAAATTTCAAGAGCAAAGATCGTAGCAAATGATGAGTCGCCAGAATTGGACCAGAATTTTTACCTAGCAACCAAAGGTCCTTGTGTCGGGACTGGAGTCTGCAGGAAAATAGATTTATGTTGACGTATATTTGATTTCAGGTCAATTTCTGTTCTCTTGTGCCTAATTTGTGCGGAATTAGGAGAGATTTTTGGGTGCCCGGGTGAAAGGTGAGTCGAGCACAATAGTTGCCTTTCTTTGCCGGATTTTCAAATAAATTTCAACTTTTGCTGACGTTTCTTTCCATTCTGTTGGGCTCAAGTGCTTCACCAAAAGCCAACATTGATTCAGCTCTGTGTGTGTGATTCTGTGTTTTTTTTAAGCGTTTGTATTGGAGAGTATGCGCTTGTGTGGGCCAAAGAGCCGTCGGTAATGCCGTCACGTGCTGCCTGAAATCATACAGCTGCCACTGGTTGAGCTTTATTTGAGGGGTTCTCCGGCCTCAGAGCAAATTTGCATAGCATGTTTAAATTATTATTTCTCGGTCAGGACTACCCCTCGATTTTATCTTCCTTTGGAGTTTTTTGTTTGTCTCCGCTGGCGCCAGGAGACATTAATAAATAAATTTAATTCAAATTACCAGCGTGCCATTATCGAGTGGATTACTCAGGGCGTTTTCCCCAGATTTCAACCCGGTGTTTGGTGGTTTTTTTTTAGATCCATTGAAATGTACGGCACATATTTGTGGCCTGTGGCATCGGTTTTCAGTGTGGTTGTGTAATTAAATGGGAAAATCAAAGCTCGGGTATTCCAGGCAACCCAAACCAATATTTGAGAATTCCTTGAATTACAGAATTGCCATTAAATCTCTCGAGAGCCGAGACCCTCAAGGGGCGGGGCAAGAAATACAATATATTAAAAGTCAATTTTATTACAGATTCCTGAATTTTGCAAATTTATATTTTGTGACACAAATGCTTCGATTGTGTTTGTTTGGTTTCCATGCTTCAGGCTTTAGTGGGAAATATTTAAACTTGACTTTCTATTTCTACTATTGAGTGGCATTTAATTTGTCACAGATGATAAGGCCGTCAGTAAGTTCAAAAACGGCAAAACCTTAAGATGACATCAACAGTAATCCGCAACTAAAGTCCTGCGGCGAACAAAGAAAAACTTCCAGCAACAAAAAATGAAATAAAAACCCAGGCGACAGGTAAATTTGTTCAGAAACTTTCAAGACGAACTTTGTTGCTTTCAAGTTTTTATAGAAATATTTATGCACAACAGGTTGGGACCTTTAAGGGAAGGCCAGGCCAATGACTTTGTTGCCTTACCCCAGAAGTGCTGGAAAATAAATTAATTACGCTTTACGCAAAAAAGATGAGAGAGAAATCAATAAACCGATTTTCGGACAAAGAATTTATTCAAGCAAACTGATTTAAAAACGTTAACTTCTTCACTGCTTTTGATTCCCTTAATTAATTACAACCGGCTCCGTATGGCTTTCTGTCAATTAACATTTCAGCAAGCGACTGGCAAGTAGGGTTGTTGGTTTTTAAAAAAATATCGTATTGATGATATTTGCTGTGAAAAAAATATCAATCGATAATATTCAGAAACATCACCAAAAAAAATCGATATATCGAGTATTTTCGATATTTTTAATAGTCAGCTAAAACTGAAAAAAGGTTATTTTTAAATTTAAAAAAAGGTTTTAATATGTTTTGTCATCCGCCATGAACTGCAAACAAGACATATTTTTTATTTAAAAAGTGAATTGAAAAAAACAACAAACATTTATACCCACTCTCAAGCAACTTTTATTTAAGTTCTTTGAAATAAAAAATAACAAAATTATTAAGGACATTGTATTCAAATTTATTTATAAAAAAAACTTAATACAAAAAAAAAAGTTTCATGGAATTCATGGAATATGTACTTAATAATGCTAATTACTTAATTCTCTTATTTAATGCTCTTAATTACAAAATAAATCTTTCTTCAATGATTTAAAAAAAACTCTTTCGGTTATATGCTGGTATGTCATTCGACTACGGGAGTCACAGACAACACATTTAATGGCAGAAGCCAACCGTTCAGATGGAACCGAACTTCCAGGCGTGATAAGAAAACTTAAAGCAACCTTCGCTAGCATCGTCATCGTTGAAATTTGTGAGTTCCAGAATTCCAACGGATTTGTCTCCCAAATACAAAATGGCATACTCAAGTAAACCTGCATTTCCTTTCTTTCGCAACTAATATCGGAGAACACCAACTCAAAAATATTATTATCGACTATTTTTGCCCAAAAAATATCACGATAATAATATTTTTTTAAGAGAAAATATATCGATATATCGATATTTTGATATATTTCCGACATCCCTACTGGCAAGTCAACAAATTAAGGGGTAAATATTTACATTACATACATTACAATTGGCTTTTATTTTGGTGTCTTACTGGAAACTGCTCGAGCCTTAAAATCGGGAGTTGTAACCAAGGCTCAAGGCTATTTAATTAATGGTCGGGGAAGGTATTTATTCGCCGAAAGAGGCGACATCGAAACCTTCTGGTCATTTCACCCATTTTCATTAAATTTTCACTCCCATTTGAAGATGGAAATGCACCTTTTGTGAAATAGCGAACATGCATAGTTTTCCCATTTTCATTTCCATTTTCAGCTGGCCATGTCGCCTAAATGTATGCAACCATTGCTGACTTTGACCTTTGCGGTGCTCGAACTTGGCGTGGTCGGGAACATTTTCAGCTGTTGCTTTTCTTTTGGCAACCGGAATTGCCTTCAATTTGTCCATTTCTCGGTTGAATACAGTTGGACGTTGCAGCTGATGCTGTTCGCATTCGTTTTAGCCCCAGCTATTGCTTCTGCTTCTGGCTTCCCAATAATGTAAGTGGACACGCTGGCGTATACGCAATGCTCTGATGGGAACTGCTTTGTGGCTTGCCATTTGTGGCTGGCTTTTAAATTATGAACGAGTTATGGTGAATTGTCTCTGTGACAGCAGACCAATGGAGCAAATTTAAGCAGTTTTAAACGAATAATAACATTAGAACGCTTTTATTACAGGTAATTGGAAAGACCTTTTCTTCAAGTGTCTTTGACTTCGTTATGAGATTTTCGGCTTTCTAGATGTGCATATTAAATATATCAGAGCTGATGGGATTTATTAATTAATAGGCTTACTTGAAAGCTCTGCTGATAATTATGACCTGTTCTTTAATCCAATTATGAAGACAGTAGGGGTCAAAATAATCTCCGATGAATGGCGGTTGCCATATGGACAGGACTCTTGAATTGAAAATTAATTCGTCGGGAAACTTATGGGTCGACCCACTTCATGCCAAATTATTATTTAACTGTGGCCATATGGACTTAAAGCCGACTCTGAAAGACCTCAATGCTACCAATTGTACGAACACACATCCAATAAATTTACTCTCTCCGACGAGGATTACACTGTGAAAGCGATTTCTTTTTGGAAATGGCTACCCGAATGTCTGCCAAACGGCTGTCAATGCGCTTAAATGTCACTCTCTGTGGCATCTAACTCGGGTCACCTGTAAATCTAACTATAACCTCCGCCTGCACGTGGTTTGCTTTATGTTTTCTGTATTTTTTGTGTGGGCTACCATGAAAGCGAATTGCTTTTGACAGCTTTCCTTTTTTGAGGCCTGAGTGGGGTCAGCAATAAAGCATTTTTATATTTAGCTAATTATGTTATTTAATAATGCACCTGATTGGAATTGAATGTATGATGAGGTGGGTATAAAAAAAAAACAAATTAAAATGCCACCAAGAGCTTTCTATAATTAAATTCTTAAATAATAAATGACACAGGTCCAGAGGGGGTAACTTCAAAGCGAGGTAATTGGTTTTTTATAGAAAGTTTACAGGTATATTTTTAAAGGTCTCATTTATAGTAGCAATTTTTAGAGGTTTT